CCGCCAGTTCGTAAAAAGAAGTTAGTTTTAAACCAGAAACAGAATTAGGATATGTTACATCGAACTGTATGGGACACTCCGCCCGCCAGTTCGATAAAGAAGTTAGTTTGAAACTATAGGTAAAGGGGTAGAAATGTTACATCGCCCTGTATGGGACGCGCCGTCCGCCAGTTCGATAAGGAAGTTAGTTTTAGTCTATAAACAGGAGTAGGATATGTTACATCGAACTGTATGGGACACGCCGTCCGCCAGTTCGAGAAAGAAGCTAGTCTTGGACTAGGAACAGGAGTAGAATATGTTGCATGGAACTGTATGGGACACGCCGTCCGCCAGTTCGAAAAAAAGAAGTTAGTTAAACCAGAAACAGAATTAGGATATGTTACATCGAACTGTATGGGACGCTCCGTCCCCCAGTTCGATAAAGAAGTTAGTTTTAAACTAGGAGAAGCAAATTTATACACCAGGATAAATTAAAGTTAATGTGATAACCATAAACCCGCCTTTACCAGTAATGGAACCAGCTCACTTCCTTTCAGGGGTTACTTCCTGCATGTGACCCCTGTCACTCTAATTGTTTAGCTCAGCCAATTAGATGCCAGCTATCACATGAACAGTTGATGCCTCTATTTTCGTGCCTAGCTCAGCAAAATAGCACTTCACATTCTTCTCTTCGTGGAACAAAATCCCTGTTACTTAATGCTTGGATTTTTCTTCAAGAATTGGAATTTTTGCTAAGCTGTAATGACTAGATCACCTTTTAGGAAGGGGTACCTTAATCTTCCAACTGCATACAAGCGTTACGCGTTCGAGTTTTCTGGACAGACCTTCCACAAAGAGATGTTGCACCGCCGCTCTTGGTCAAACTTCCTCCCTGGAACATTGATCTACAATACTGCAACCCGGTCTCCTCTTGAATGTCGCTGCTTTCTCCTCTTCTTGAACTTTCGATATCCTCTCGCATGTACCCTCACTTAAGGCGGTTGGACTCTCTCGGCTGACACTTCACAGTCAAGGTTCCTCCGCAGGAAATCATCTTAGGCCAGTGTGTTTTCCTTTGGGATCAGAGTTGCTCTCTCGTGATTCAGGTGCGGTATTTTTCTGGTTTATCGATAGTTAACTTAATATTCTTATTATATTGTGCCTCGAACGACATCTGTTTTTGCAATATTGTGTGCATGTGACTGTACTGAGGGCTTTGAGACATGGAAAGTTATTTTTGAGTTCACTTACTGTATTAAGAAGAAGGATTTGGCGCCGCGGCCTCTTCGCCTTATTTGTGAGTCCCGGGGATTCAAGTATGGATGTCCGTGCGTTTATTATGCTCTTACTATGGAGTGAGAAAGAATACGGACTGTTAACATCAAATCTGTTAAGACTGGGTCTTCGAGCTTTTTTCAAATAATGGATTGACTTTCAGTTTCAATTGTTTATTCACATCTAACATATTAATGGTTGTCTTTACACTATCACACTAGGCTGTTAAATAAGACTTAAGAGCCGCTAAGTTTTACTTAACCAAAAATTAGTGTGTGAAGGCCTAAGTAAGATCTCAAGTAACTTTACTTTGCATCTCATTAAAGTCGGAAAGTTGAAACGATTCAAGAAAGTTTCAAGCGACTTGAAAACCATCCTTATGACTGACTTGCGGTTTCGCGGTTTCTTGAGCTTTGAGAAAGGCGAGACATGTCAATAAATCTTAATTTTGTTGCGTGGGAAGATAACCTGAAGTAAAAAAGAATCGATTGTGTGTGAAGCTTTATTTTACTTGAAGTACTTAAAATTTACTTGTCTTGAAATATGTCTTAGCTTATTTAGGCTCCAGTCTAAAGACTTCCATTATGAGTTGAGAATGGCACATGAAAGAAAATCATCAAGGTCGGTTTCATGCTTCGCGCGTGCAGACTGCTCCTTGCGAAAAGGCGCGTTTCACAGTATTCGAAAATCAGAAATTTGCTTCGTTCTCCGGATCATAACGAGGAATTATAAGCTAAAATTTTTAGGATTAACTGTTGAAAAGGTGAGCTTTCCAGTTATTGAACCTGTTTCATGTTTGAAGCAATCTTATATATTTTGAAATGTTGGACGCATCTCTGATTTTGTGGATTGAAACGTACAGTGCGACGCTGGTACACTGGTTTAACAACGCTCATTTTTCTCCAAAACGGCTTTTTCTCACAATAATTTTGATGTATAGGGATATTAACCTGCTCTTTTATGGTTAAAACATGAGATGTTGCCGAAACTATAACTTGCTGCATGTGAATGTTACGCGTGACGGCCCTAATTGTGCACGCTTTTTCAAAACATCATTTCCTTAAAAATTTAGAATTCAATACAGATGCATGATTTTTGGCAGACTCGTAGTTCATTAACATGTTGTTATTCTTTGTGCCAAGGGACAGCTCTGTAGCTGTAAAATGTTTGGAGATTATTGTAATTCATATGCCTAACTTCGTTTGTACAAGTGAACCGTGTTACTGATCAATGTAAGCATTTATTTTGTTCTGTTTGGACTTCAGTTCATCTGTTTGGGTGTGCATTGTATTTCCCCAACTCAATATCATGCTAAAGATAGAGGTATAAAGTGACTGATTTATTTGTTTGAGGTTTCTTTGAGGTAGGAAACAGTGTACTTGTTTAAAGCATTCCCACATTTGGATTCGCATGCTCATTTGATCAGTGCACCGTTTTTTCTTCAAGGCAGTGTCTATTTTTTCAGTACATAACAACTGTTAGTTATTACTTGTAATCAAATTACAATCCGAACCTTCTCATTTGCCCTAGAGAGGATTATCACCTCTCACTATCCTGGGGGATTATCACCCCTAAGAGAGGATTATCACCTCTCACTAACTCCTCTCCCAGGGAACTGTTACCCCAAATAGGAAGTGCAGTGTAGGATTGCAACTCCTCTGAATCTACCAAGGATCTTTTTTCAGGGGATTGGCAAACCTGGAAAGGAGTGAAGACCTTTTTCTGGGTGTGATTGCAGCCTTGAAGAGTATGCATGTTGTTGCATAAAGTTTGTTCCTAACTCCTTGCCTTATGCCACATACTGTTGTTATTGTATCAGTAATTGGGCTGAAACCATAAATAATACAGTAACATTTAGTAGCTTACAAACAAAAACCATGAGCATGTGTATTCTGATTTATCGATAAGGATGTTTAAAATTTTCTCAATATGGATTTGGGAAGTTTTAGCCTGCGGAATCCAGGATCTAGGACATTTTTGCTGTGGAATCTGAAACCCAGTGGGCTTTGAAATCCGGAATACAGCTTTTCAATAAGGAACATCCAGAATCTCACTAACGATTGGAATCCGGAATCCAAGGTTCAACTGACAAAGAATCCGGAATCTAGTACCTGGAATGCGGAATCCATGGCGTGGAATCCAGAACCTATGACTGTCCTGGATTCCCTTACATGGGGCGAACTGATAAACTGTATACTGGCGGACGGCTCTCTCTTGATACTAGGGAATGCCGTTATAAACCCCTCTCCAGGCTGTACGGTTTGTTTTCCTAGTGCGGGTCATGAGACGGTAACAAGGAAGGTTTTCACAATCTTTTAATTAAACTACGGGTACAAAATCACTTGAATGAATCCAAATTTGAAATAATTAGTTCTCCAGAGTAGTAGGCGTATCAAGTAACCTGTCAGTTAACAAAACAATAACGCCCATGACTTATTCTATGGTTTCTCCTTTTATCCCTTTAAGACCGAATCGTACAAATTTGTACGATCTGATATGGCCCACAGTCATTTGACCAGCAGTTTCCTCAAGCTTAGTTTCCAGACCCCCCTTCTTTGCAACGCCTAGTGGATTGTATTGTTCGCCATTTTGAGTTGTTTTGAACCAGTTTCTGCGACATTTTCGATTTGTTAGAGCAAGAGTAAGCTTAATTTTAGTTCTGCAACATGTCTGAGCATAGGACACGTTATAATTTGAAAGATTTTTTTATTGTTTTGGATGGAAACTTCGAGATACCCGATCGTGGCGTGTTTCGGATATCGAAGGCTTTGATATGTATACCAGGCACGATTTACGGACAGGTTTTCAGCGTAAGCTTTCGTGTAAGCCGCTTACAGGGCTTACAAGGCTTACAGATTAGAAATTAACATAAGGGTTACTCTTATTTAAAATTAGCTAGATTCCTTCATCTAAAAGTGGTTGCCATGGCAACGTCACTTAGGGGCTTACAGGGCTTACGGGCTTACAGGGCTTACGGGCTTACAGGGCTAACAGGGCTTACAGGGTTAACAGGGCTTACAGGGCTTACAGGGCTTACAGGGCTTACAGGACTTACAGGGCTTACGGTCTTACAGGGCTAACAGGGCTTACAGGGTTAACAGGGCTTACAGGGCTTACACGGTTAACAGGGCTTACAGGGCTTACAGGGCTTACAGGACTTACAGGGCTTACGGTCTTACAGGGCTAACAGGGCTTACAGGGCTTACAGGACTTACAGGGCTTACGGTCTTACAGGGCTAACAGGGCTTACAGGGTTAACAGGGCTTACAGGGCTTACAGGGCTAACAGGGCTTACAGGGCTTACGGGCTTACAGGGCTTACAGACTTACAGGGCTTACGGGCTTACAGGGCTTATGGGCTTACAGGGCTTACAGGGCTTACAGGGCTTACAGGGCTTACAGGGTTAACAGGGCTTACAGGGCTAACAGGGCTTACAGGACTTACGGGCTTACAGGCTTACAGGGCTAACAGGGCTTACAGGGCCTACAGGGCTTACAGGGCTTACAGGGTTAACAGGGCTTACAGGGCTAACAGGGCTTACAGGACTTACGGGCTTACAGGCTTACAGGGCTAACAGGGCTTACAGGGCTTACGGGCTTACAGGGCTTACAGGGCTTATGGGCTTACAGGGCTTACAGGGCTTACAGGGCTTATGGGCTTACAGGGCTTACAGGGCTTACAGGGCTTACAGGGCTAACAGGGCTTACAGGGCTTACAGGGCTTACAAGACTTACAGGGTTAACAGGGCTTACAGGGCTAACAGGGCTTACAGGGCTTACGGGCTTACAGGGCTTACAGGGCTAACAGGGTTAACAGGGCTTACAGGGCTTACAGGGCTTACAGGGCTTACAGGGCTTACAGGGTTAACAGGGCTCACAGGGCTAACAGGGTTAACAGGGCTTACAGGGCTAACAGGGCTTACAGGACTTACGGGCTTACAGGCTTACAGGGCTAACAGGGCTTACAGGGCTTACAGGCTTACAGGGCTTACAGGGCTTACAGGGTTAACAGGGCTTACAGGGCTAACAGGGCTTACAGGACTTACGGGCTTACAGGCTTACAGGGCTAACAGGGCTTACAGGGTTAACAGGGCTTACAGGGCTTACAGGGCTTACAGGGCTTACAGGGCGAACAGGGCTTACAGGGCTTATGGGCTTACAGGGCTTACAGGGCTTACAGGGCTAACAGGGCTTACAGGGTTAACAGGGCTTACAGGGCTTACAGGGCTAACAGGGCTTACAGGGCTTACAGGGCTTATGGGCTTACAGGGCTTACAGGGCTTACAGGGCTAACAGGGCTTACAGGGTTAACAGGGCTTACGGGCTTACAGGGCTTATGGGCTTACAGGGCTTACAGGGCTTACAGGGCTTACAGGGTTAACAGGGCTTACAGGGCTAACAGGGTTAACAGGGCTTACAGGGCTAACAGGGCTTACAGGACTTACGGGCTTACAGGCTTACAGGGCTAACAGGGCTTACAGGGTTAACAGGGCTTACAGGGCTTACAGGGCTTACAGGGCTAACAGGGCTTACAGGGCGAACAGGGCTTACAGGGCTTACAGGGTTAACAGGGCTTACAGGGCTTACAGGGCTAACAGGGCTTACAGGGCTTACCAGCTTACAGGGCTTACGGGCTAACAGGCCTTACAGGGCTTACGGGCTTACAGGGCTTACGGGCTTACAGGGCTTACAGGGCTAAGAGGGCTTACAGGGCTTACAGGGCTTACAGACTTACAGGGCTTACGGGCTTACAGGGCTTATGGGCTTACAGGGCTTACAGGCTTACAGGGCTTACAGGGCTTACAGGGCTAACGGGGCTTACAGGGTTAACAGGGCTTACAGGGCTTACAGGGTTAACAGAGCTTACAGGGCTTACAGGGCTTACAGGGCTTACAGGGCTAACAGGGCTTACAGGTCTTACAGGGCTTAAAGGCTTACAGGGCTAACAGGGCTTACAGGGCTTACAGGGCTTACAGGCTTACAGGGCTAACAGGGCTTACAGGGTTAACAGGGCTTACAGGGCTTACGGGCTTACAGGGCTTACAGGGCTTAAAGGCTTACAGGGCTAGCAGGGCTTACAGGGCTTACAGGGCTTACAGGCTTACAGGGCTAACAGGGCTTACAGGGTTAACAGGGCTTACAGGGCTAACAGGGCTTACGGGCTTACAGGGCTAACAGGGCTTACAGGGTTAACAGGGCTTACGGGCTTACAGGGCTTACAGGGCTTACAGGCTTACAGGCTTACGGTCAAGAAAAATTGCTTGAAGCCAGATTTAGAGCATCGGTCGCTAATATGGGAGAAGATTTAAGGATATTAGATAATTGTTCATGCGGTAATAATTTCCTTTTCAGGCCTACGAAACGTGGACAAGTGAGAGGTTGTGTGTTTTAAGGTTGCTAAACATTTAGTAGAGAGGACTATCCTTGAAGTTTTCTATGAAAGGTTGACTTTTTCATGCTTGATATGTGCTCGAGCTCTAAACCTATACTTTGCTCAAAAATTACTCTCGGTTGCTCGACTTAGTTGCTCCAAACGCTAAAAGTTGCTGAAAAGTTGCCGAGCACAATTGGCACAGGCCTAAGCTACGCAATCATTTCCCATCATGGTTTACGAAGCAACCATTACATTTACAGGAATTAACTTTAAGAAGAAAGCTAGAAACGTAGGTTTCATAATGAATAATTATTTGTCGTTTAGTGCTCACATCAATGAAGTTTGTAAAATTGCTACTCCAGCAATAAGATCAATAGGATGTTTACTTGGTTAATTAATGCTCTTGTTATTTCTCGATTAGATTACTGCAACAGTGTTTTATATGGCATACCTTAATATCAAAAAGATAAACTTCAAAAAATTCAGAATACTGCAGTGCGTTATATGATGTGTTCTAGTGACGTTTCGACCATTGCACGCCTTTATCAAAAAAACGTGCCCTGGCTACCAGTTCAGAAAAGGAGCGAATTCAACAGTCTCCCCTTAATCTCACTACAAGACCATAAATGGCCAGTTGGTAGACTACTTGAAGTCTCTAATAAAAGTCCATCATCCATCACGAACTATAAGATCAGGGTCACGTTCACTACTCTACCTTATCAAAGAGCTAGAACAGAGCCATTTTGGTTGCGGCCCCTAAATTTTAGAATGGTGTGGAGTCACCCAGCAGGACGAGGCGTGTCAAAGGACGAATGAGCTTATTATGAGCCAACGGTTCGCATGCAGCTGGTGCTGTAAAGCTTCCTGCTTTATCTCCAGCCACCTCGCCCATGTCCCGCGCAAGGGCCTAAACTTTCAGGGCGACAGAGTGAGGCTCACGACACGGCGCAACTCTTCCACACCTTAATCCAATTCACGTGCAAGTGACTGAGATATCATACCCATTCATCCTTAAAGCTCTGTCGCAAAGGACGTGTGGCGAGGCCGCAGGTGCAGATTCACTGCCACTGGAAGCTGTGGTCACAACATACTAGGTTCGTTCGCTACTGGACTGAAGGAGCGGTGGAGTTCGGCATCTCCCCTGAATGTCTGAGCATTCCCCTTTAGGAATTCTTCTGTGTTCCTCCATCACCTGAGGAAGGGGCTAGAAAAGATGCTCCCAACAAAGGCTGCCTTAGCTTACCGCGGCAGGAGGGGATCCTATCTATGCAGTCGAAACATCAAGATGAAAACAAAGCTGACATCGCGATCGATCGACACATGGAATGTACATACGCTCATGGACAGCACCAAAGTTTACAGACCTGAGACGGACAGCTCTAGTTGCAAGAGAACTGGGCAGATACAACATTCATATCCCAGCGTAGTGAGACAAGGTTAGCAAATAAAAGTCAGCTGATCGAAGCCTGGCTTTTTCTCGATCGATCGCTACAGTGAAGAACATCGTCAACCAGGAGTGGGATCTGCCGTCAAAACATATCTGATCAGTACATTTAACAAAATTCCCTAAGGAATCAACGATCGCCTCATGGCTTTTCGGCTCTCTCGCCGAGGAAACCGTTACGCCCCTGTTATCAGTAAATATGCTCCAACAATGACGAATCTTGAGGAGATGAAATATAAATTCTGCAAGGACTTAAAAGACATCATCGAAGGCGTGCCAAAGTAGGACAAATGCATTATTGTCTACGCCTCTCATGCTAGAGTGGGAAATGGAGGGAGTCATAGGGAGAAATGGGTTTAGGAGATGTAACAGTAATGGACTGTTACTTTTGGAGACCTGTGCATCTCACATGCAGTTTATCGTTTACCCACCTGCACACAGACGTAGTGGATGCACCCACGCAGCAAGCACTGGCATCTGATCGATTATGTTCTCGTCTGGAGAAGAGACAGGCAGGACGTTAGAGTTACAAGGGCGATGTGCAGAGCAGACTGCCGCGAATTACCTGAAAACTCAACATGTACAACTAACCTCAAGGCGCTGTGACTCCTGTTTCAATAAAAAGGCAGATGCTGACAATAACAAAACTAAACGCTTCTATAATGCCGTGAGGAACATTTATGGGCCTCAGTCTTCTGGAACATCACCACTAGAGGGAACAACGCTACATAGTGAGAATAACGCCATCCTGGAGAGTTGGGTGGAATATTTCATCAGCGTCCTAAATACGCCCTAGTCCATCAACGTTGAAGCCATTGCCCACCTATATAAGTGAAAGTGAAACAGGCAATCGTGCGGCAATCACGGAGGGATTCCTCTGATAGCCATCGCTGGAAAGATCCTTGCAAGAATCCTCTTCAACCAATGGCCACTTCCCAGAGAGTGCGTATGGCTTCTGGAAGGGCTGTGAAACTGCCAACATGGTGCCGTTTGCTGCACGGCAACTTCAGGAAACGTGTCAAGAACAGTATAGAAATTTCGACATAACGTTTATAGACCTGACAAAGGCCTTTGACACTGTCAACTGCTAGGGAGTGTGGAAAATCGTGGCAACTTTGGCTGTCCAGATAAGTTCAACAGTGTGGTGCGTCATTTCCACGATGACATGCTTGCTCGAGTACTGGACAATGGAAACTCCTCTGAAGAATTTCCAGTCACTAACGGACTCAAGCAAGGCTGTGTCGCTACCTCCACACTGTTAAGCAGGATCTAACAGTCAATTTGTTGGCGGACTTCTTCTGCAACGTCGAAGAAAGTGATGGTGGTATCCTGATTACTAGGTACAGGACCGATGAAAGACTATTTGCTTGGGTAGGCTACAGGCAATGACCAAGCTCAAAGAGGCTATAGTGTGTGATGTCTTTTTCGCAGATGACTGGATTCTCAACGCTGTCACCGAGTCCCCGTTGAAATGAGTATCAACTGTCGACTGCTTTCCTAATGCTTCCCACAACTTTGGTCTAACAGTTAGTACCAAAAATACTCAAGTTCTTCACCAGCCTACCCCTTAGAAGGGGTAAGTGGTACCAGCTATCACTGTCAAAAAGGAGACACTCAAGTCCGTTGACAAGTTCACGTATATTTGCAGCAATCTTTCCAGATCTGCGAACATCTACCACAACTTCGTGAAAGTAATTAGAAAAGGAGAGGCAGTGAGACAATTGAGGCAAGAAAGTTGTAGTGAAGAAATTTACAGTATTACTTCGCAGTAAATGCCACACCTCGTGATGTCCGTAGTCATCGTTTACGATGATGAACAAACAACAGGCGTGACCTGGTGTTGGGTATCCGTCCTGACTATGTCTGTAAAGAGGCTGTTTTAAGAGGGAAAGATAAGTGAGACATTTCTAATTGTTAGGAAGGACAACATGCCCCTAGCGAACTGTGCTCGTGTACCCGATGATGACTATTCAATTCCTGTCACATATTTATCGGTTGCGAGGAAAGTTCTACCTGTGACAACATTATATGGACTTCTAGGTAATGCTAAAAATGTTTGCTGTTACACTGGCAGCACCAATCGCTATATCTTGAACTTTTCCTTCTCAGAATGTAGATGTCTTCGTGCTTGGAAGCCTGGTGTCATTCCTGACATTTCGGTGACTGTGTTTGACAAGGATTTGAGACCAATCACGGTAACATCCACATTATCCAATATCGTTGAAGCCGTTGTCATCAACAAATCCTTGAAGCCCACAGTTCTATTATCTACGGATCCTAAACAGTATGAAATAATCCCTGGACCCTTGATCATCCACGACCTTAGCACTTTCTGCTAGTTAGACTCTGGTGGCCAAACTCCATATAGCTTGGGTGCAACGCCTAAAACTACCACCATGAATTGGATTACAGACTTTTAAAAGAGAGGCAACAAAGGGTTAGGCTTGGTGGGGACTGTCATTAAGACCGGGTGAGTGTTTTTTGCGGCGGTCCCATTAGGGAACTTGGCCCGGGCCTTGGCTATTTCTCAGCTATTTCTCGCCATGATGAATCATCTTGAGGTCCAGGACATAAGACACCTACGGGGAAATTTGGTGACGACAACGCCATTTGAGCTGATTCCACCATACAGTCACAGTGATATTCAACAAGCTATCAGCCACATCAGCAGTTGGTCCCGGCAAAATCTTTATCAAATGAATCCATCAAGTAAAAAGAAATGCTGACCCGTTTAACGAGGACTCCTGCCGATTATGCTCCTGACTATACTCTATTCCCAAGAAACCACAACTACTCAGCTGCGAAGCGATTCTTGTTTTGGTGACCGCTTGGTAATTATAAATGATGATATAATACTTTCAGAGGATCAGAAAAAGGGATTGTGAGGAAATTCTTGAAACATTTTGGACTGTTGGGCATTTTGTTTCTTTAAGACCCTTCCCGGCTGCTGGACATGTAGACACAGCGTATAGTTTTATACTGTATTTCAGTTTTACAAATTTTTACTTCATGAACGATTTATCTAATTTATCTTATAA